ATATATATATATATATATGTATATATATTCACATATGTGTACACGATAGAATGTGATAAAGTACAAAAGTTATGTTAAGTTCATGGTATTGTGTAAAAGGACAGTAGTGCGAAAACGTTTCAATAACATTTTGATAATGTATAAACAAATAACGACCTATTGACCATTTTGTACCTTGTCTTATCACATTAATTTTAAGTTAAGTATTCTTGTCCAGTTTTGGTGAAACTATTTTTTACACTTTCAATACAATAGCACCTCTATATGAGGGGTTATATTTTACACAATAATTACATTTACATTCTGTATTAAAAAAGTGGGAGTGCTCTTATGTTAAATAAAAATGACGATAAATTTTCTTATAATTTTCAGAGGATATTTAATTTTTTTAATACAATAAGTGATTATATGAAATAAATATAGAAATGCTTCCTAACATACATGATAAAGATTACAGAGTTTTGGATTTGGTACGTCAACGTGAGATACGGGTATGTTAATACAAAATTAGGCTTACTTATATATTTATTTATTTACTTATTTGTAGTTGTAGTTCATGAACAAATGTAATAATTTCTCATGATTAATGTAATATAATATATAGTTCATAAACAAATGTAATAATTTCTCATTTTTATATACTTATGTATAAATTGTATTATTTACTCAAATGTACTGTATATATACTGTATATATATGTACTGTATATATAAAAATAAATTGTTATTTAATTCTTTTTGAATTATTTGTTTAGGATTCCGTGGCATATGCAGTTTCTCAGAAGTTACATGTTACAGAAAATTTGATATCTCGGTTAGGACTTGAAAAAGAATTAATTGGTCATACAGGATGCGTTAATTGCTTGGAATGGAATGAAAGCGGACAGTAAGTATTTATTAAATAGTGAATATTTTACATACATTACGGAAATATTGACAATGTGTATAAAATATCTTTGCATACAATAAAAAAATTATAGATTAATGTATATTAACGTGTATTTTTAGAATCCTTGCTTCAGCATCTGATGATATGAATATTATATTATGGGATCCATTTCGTTATGAAAAAAAATTAATACTTCGTACACGTCATCATGGAAATATATTTTCTGTTAAGGTAACCTTATTAAATATTAAACATATAATTTTCTTAGTGAAATATTAGCTAAAAAATTATTAATTTCTATAAATTAAAATCCTCAGAATTTTTTAATAGAAATTAAGAATCATTCATCCTTTCTTTTTTATAGTTCTTGCCAAAATCAAATGACAGGATATTGGTATCAGGTGCTGGAGATGGGAAAGTACGGGTTCGTGATCTAACGCTTCTTGAACCAATATTTTCGTGTAATTGTCATATAGGTCGTGTAAAACGTATTGCTACTGCAACTACTGTACCTTTTCTTTTTTGGAGTGCTGCGGAAGATGGTCTTATTTTACAATATGATATTCGTGCTCCTCATAGTTGCAAAAGCAATGACTGTAATAGTGTGTTAGTAAATCTTGTTAATCATGCTGGTCGATATGCAGAGGGCAAGTGTATTACTGTGAATCCAAAAAAACCCGAACTAATAGCTATTGGAGCTAATGATGCTTATATACGAATGTATGACCGTAGAATGATTAAGCTTTCTCAGGTAATTATGAAACAAAAACTAATCATTCAAGAAATTCTTAAACGATTTTTTTTCTTTCTTTTTCTAATAGGTGCCTATTTCTTCTCCACATAGTAACTGGACAAGAGGAAATGTATGTATACGTCTAGCTGGTGGAGGTGATCCAGATGAGAATATACCACTGGGTTGCGCACAGTACTTTATCGCGGGTTCGTTCGTACGATCAGAAATAGCGTACGCGACTCCTTTACCCTTATATTCCTGTTTTATTGTATATTATATGATCACTCTAACAAAAACTATTAATGTTTGATATTGAGCAGGCCATCTGCATTCTCGGCAGCGTGATAGTAATAGAAGTCTCACTACTACATATTTAACCTTCAGTGCTGATGGAAATGAACTCCTTGTTAACATGGGCGGTGAACAAATATATTTATTTGATATCAATAATCCAAAAAACATGAAGACTTGTTTTGGTTACTCTTCAAATATGTATTTGGGTAATGTTTGTATTTATTACAATGTTCTATCTTGTATTATCAATCGTAAATTAAATAAATTGTTATACTTCAATTTTATATGTAACATATGTAACATGTTTAAATTTTCTAAATATCTGCAAACAGGAGATTTAGACAAGTACAATATGGAAAGTAATGAAGATATTACAGATTTTACTAGCAAAAACATTAAAATTTTACCCCCGCATGTTGAAGAATTAAAACGACAAGTAAGTCTGTGCTGTGTAAAAGTCAAAACTAATTATATTCCTTTGTTTTTTTTTCTTATTGCCCTTTTATTTTAGGCTAATGAAAGTTTTGAGCAACAAAAATATACATTAGCAATTAATTTATATAATAAAGCAATCAGTTATTGCCCTACTGCAGCTGTACTTTTTGCTAACAGAGCTGCAGCATATATGAAACGAACTTGGTATGATCTGTTCACTATTATATTTTAAACTTTGCAACACTATAAAAAAATTAAAGAATAATATAAGTAAAAAATCGAGAGAATGTAATTTTTGGAATATATAATTTTTTAAATTAAAAAGTCATGATGATCTTTTTTATTCTTCTGAATATAGATCTTGAATATAGTTTTGCATGATTTGTAGGGATGGTGATATATATGCTGCTCTTAAAGATTGTCAAACAACATTACTTCTTGATCCCGAACATGTAAAAGCTCATTTTAGGTAACAATTTATGAATCCTATAATAATGTATTTAATATATTTAAGTATAATTTTATATATATATGTAGATTAGCTCGTTGTCTCTTTGATTTACATCAATCAGTCGAAGCTGATAAAATAATTAAAGACTTTCAACAAAAATTTCCTGAATATGCATCTAACTCAGCATGTAAAGCATTAAAAATGGATATAAAAGAAGCTATAGATTCTGGTACGTCTTTCTTTATTCCATTAAATTGATATAATGTGTATACAAATACATATTTACATATAAAATTTAAAAAATGTTCTTACAAAATATTTTTTTAATCAATATTCTTTAATAATGTATTCATTATACAATCAGGTAGAGATATTGACATGAATCAATTAATGATTCAAATATCAGAATATGAACAAGAATGGCGACGCAATACAATTGATTATAAAATGAGATTTTGTGGGCATTGTAATACTACAACTGATATAAAGGAAGCTAATTTTTTTGGAAAGTATGTAC